AAAAATGTTTATTTAAAAAAAAAAACTACACTGAAATATTATTTCTCCCTATCTAAATAAAAGAATTTCAAGAAAAAATAAAAATACTATTGTCAAATTAGTTCAAAATTTCCTTTAACAAGCACTATTATAGGATAATGATAGTCTACTTTTTTATCTGGAAAAGTGCCAAAAATCTCATAGATTTAACAGTATACAAGGTCCTTTGATTATTCTAACTTGTTTTACCACTGCTATTAACATATATAAAAACTAAATATAATAGACAGATTTTAACAGATTTTGCCTTTTGATATATCCAGAGAAGATCTTGACAATTTTTCTGTGCTGTGTATTTTTGAGAACAAAATGTTTTTTATGAGAATTTACATTTAAAATAAAAATGAAAGATTATACAAATGACTTTATTCAACAATCTCATTTATACACAGCTTTTGTAGGATTTGTATATTGCATAAAATTAAATCTGACTGTAGTCAAATATTAAAAATACATACCAGTCTAGACAAAAATTTACATTTTCTTATTTTAGTTGTGTTCTTTCCTCCTAGATAACCAACTCGATTTTCTTCAAACTTTATAGTAGTAAGTCTGAATGCTTCAAAAGGAAAGGTCCTTTTAGTTTGTTATTACATAAAGTCTTGAGGCATGCCTATATTTTGTGAATATTTTTCTGTATTTTCTGTATTTCTCTTCCATTTACTTAAGAATACAGAAAAATAGAAACCACTGGGAGTTTGGGTTGCTTTTTTTTTTTCTTCTTTGACACATTTCCTGGTTTGGCAGCTGAAGAGGTTACTCTAACCTCAGACTTTGTCTTTGATTTTGCTCAGACTTTCTTTGATTTCGCTTATTTATAAATTTCCATGGATTTTTTTGTGACTAGTTATTCCTCTGCAAGTAAGGTTTGGGACCTGTGCATATAGTAACTTTTTTTAAAATTCATTTACTGGTTTCTTATGACCTCTTTTTAAATTCTATATTTATTGAATTATAATTTTGTAAAAAGTGCTTTGCTGAGGAGTTCATAGATAAATAATGCAAAACCTCTGTTGCCCCTGGTTCACAGTCTCATATAGTATAGATTGAATTTTTTTGAGATTTAGCTCTATCAGTAAAATATTTCTGCTTGTGTCCAATAATGCTACTTTACTAACACGTTTTATTAGCATTAGTAACCAGTGCTTACTAACTACTAATGAAGAATGGTAAAGCGACAGCAAAGCTAGTTCTCCAGTATACCAAGTAAGCAGAAAAGAGAAGACCTACTTGAATGTTTCACAATGAACAAAAATAAAATACAGTTTTAAAAACAGTATAAAACCTATGTCAGAGAAGCAAAGACAAATATAACTTCTACATTTAAATTTTAAGGCAATGACATTTATTAACTTAGTCTTATATGAACTTTAAAAAATTATTTTAGAGTTTTGTTAATGGGAAGAAAAAAAATCACCTGGCTGCAAAGCTCTCTAATATTCAGAGGTTTAGACCTCTTGCACTTTTAAGTATCCAAAAATGATGGAAGATACATCTTCAAGTAACATAATATAGCTAGTATGCCCCTCTGCCCATTTAAGCATTTCCATAGCACTCTTAAGTCTTTAATCTGTAAAATGAGTGAATTTGTACCATCATGTAACCTTAACTTTAAGGTACACATATTAGAATATAAAGTCTATTAAAAATACAAGGATTGACATGCCTTTCATATTTCTTCAGGGTAAGCCAAGACATGGCTGAGGCTAATTGAAAGAGAACGTGGTTGAAGGCATCATACATTCATAAAATAGAAATGATCTTTGAATAGGAAAACCATGGGTAGGCAGAAGGGCTTTTATAGGTGAAAATTAATAAAATTTACAGGTAATAGTAGCAGTTTTTAAAGTGATGCATTTTCCCTAAATGATTCTAATTTAAAATCAAGCATCAACCATGTTTTTGTCTTTGAAAATTCCATAGAAAAATAGTTGTTTTTTTTAAAGTAGAAAATCATTTTATCAACTCTTTTCTACCTGTTTGTTTGTTCTTTATTGTGCAGAAGTAACTTGTTTCACTGTGTTCATTGGTATAATGTGTTCTTTGTCTCTTACCTATGTACTTAAGCAAGTAAACTCAGCTCGCCTTGAAGGAGATAACATTATGGTAAATTTCTCTTACATGCTCAACTTCCTGCATGTAAAATGGCTGAAGGTTTGTTGGCCTGTGTTTTCTACATCGTGAATAAAGTGCATTCTCTTGCTATTATCTGTATGTAAAGGTCTAAAATATTCAAAGCCATGAATTCATTAGTCTAACAAAATATATAGGGAATACTAGCTGAAGTAATATTGGAACGTAAAGAAAAGAAATTGTGGTTCTAATTGCCAAATATATTAGCTAAGCCAAATTCAGATTTTAGAATCTGAATTTATACATAAATATATTGTGCTTTTCATACCCAATAAAAGATGTTAATTTAGCTAGTACTTGGTATTTTCACTGTTGGCAAAAAAAAAATTAACAAAATTAGAGAAAGGTATAAGGTATACAAACCTACTTTGCATCTCAGTACCTTTGTTGTTTTCTTAATTTTCATCCAAACTCATTGTAGAATTTCTTGTGCAATTCCAGGCCAAGACAAACCCCAGTAGTTCAGGCATTTCTGTACTGGCAAGGCCTATAACAATATACAGTGTTAATTCACTTAAGAAAGTTGCAGAATAGTGATAGCCTTGGGCAAGAATTGAGAGTGAGAATTGTTACATAGTACTCAATGTGTATACTGAGCTTGTGGAAGTTTTCAAGATGTTAGGAAATTTTAATTTTTAACAAAATAGAAGTTCGTAATTTCTGATCATAGCCCAAAAACTTATAAATGTTAACCAGTAAAGATTTATGGAATGTTTACTGTTATACTCCTAGATACATTACTTTCATAGAAATGATAGAAATGGCATGGAACCTGCAGTACAGTTAATAATAAATTGACAGCTGATTGCTTTTATTCCATTAGCATTGACCTGCAAGCGGGGTCGGGGGAGGGGGAGCTATGAAGCCCTGGCTAAATCAAGGTGTTCCTTAGATAGCAAGAGAATGCATTCATTTATTTCCATTGTGGTATTTGTAGGTAAATAAAAAGTGTGAGACTATTTCAATCATTGGTAATTTAATACATAAATTGTAGGTTTTCTTTTAGGTAAAAATATCCTAAACACTTAGCAAGACTGTTTTCATTTATTAGGCATTTATTTTACTACTGATGTCACCTACTTATAGTAAGATGCATTTAAGTCTGGTTTTTTAAAATTCATTATATCTCTGGTTTATGGTACCCCCTCCAGGTGGCTGTATCAGTGTTCAGTGTCCATTTATCCTTGTTTTGTTTTAATTTTCTAAATTTCTACAATTTTAGACCTAAAAAAGGAATTAAAAATAATTTAGTCCAAACCTCTCATTTTACAGATAAGGAAACTAAAACTAAGAGGGGTTAAATATTCCCAATTTTAGAAAACTGATGTTCTTATTCATTTATAGAATTAGTAAAAGATTAAAAAATTGATAGTATTGATACATATTGAGGCATACATTCACAGTATATTCAGCTGTACTAATTTAGTTACCACTATTTAACCTGTTAGTGTAATTTTGGAAAAGGAGTATGCCGTTTGAATTAAATTATGTACATTTTTCTGTACTAAGATGTAGAAAATGTTAAATTCCAACCTTCTTTCATGCTCTATATTTTTCTCTAATTTTTAATGCTGGCTAGATTTGGGCAGAGGAAGTGACAAAAGTAAGTAAATTATTAAACTACAGAATTACGAAACAAGAATTTAATTGTCATTCATTCAGTAAATATTGGGCAATAACCGTGGGGCTAGTCACAGTCTTTGTTACTATATCTTACAAGATCTGCAGATGTTTATGGAAAGCTCAGGTCCATTTGGCTAGTAGTAGCTCCACAGAGCAGTAGAACAATCCTGCAGAGATGTGGTTTGCACACACTCTTGATACCTTTTATATTAAGTGGTAATCTTTACAATGCCTTGCCAGAGACCGTTTAAATACTTGGTTTATTCATATTACAATTATGTAAAATATAGTTAACACCATGTTCTTTATCGTCAGAGAATTGAATGTATCATATGTCACACAAATGCATTTTCTAGGTAACTGAAGCTTGTTCTGTCCAGCATCAAAGCTAATTTTTCTCAATTTAGTTGAAAATATTTGTAAAAAAGTATTTTACTGCATTAAATACAGGATAGCATATATTTAATTTTACTTAGGGTCTTTATTATGAATATCCATTATTATACTGTATAAAAATTGAACCTGTTGTTTGTTTTGAAAGTGTGTTGTCTTCTCCCTCAGTGTCAGACTGGCACTTTTAGAAGCTGTCCATATGACTGCTACTAGCAGTCTCTCTGCCTGTGTTGCCATTTCTAATCTTTTTTGGGCTGGGAAATCAAATAACTAAGCAAGAATTTAATAAATAAAATTATGACTTCAGCGCAGATTTGTTTCAAATCCTACTTGAGGTCTTCAGAAGCATTTTTCATTTCCTTTTTATGTTCGGGCCTACCGAAACCTGACCTCCAGAGAACAGTGCTGGGGACTGAGAGCAGGTGGTGTTTATGGTCCCTGGCTATTAATAGCTTTACAAACTTTAACTTTTTATTTTCTGACTTTGTAGGATTGCTGACTATACAGCCTGTTTCATGCATAGGTTGTGGAGCTATTAATTCCATGACTTGGAAAATCAATGTGAAATTCTTGACTTATGCGCTCATGCCCCTTTGTGGAACATTCATCAACTTAATTACGGTTTCACCGTGGCCTCTGATTTCTTCCTGAGCCTCTAGCATGGAAAGGTGGCAGAGTAACATAGAAGAGGGTATAGGTTAAACAAGAAAACCAGGGTCTCTTTCACTTTGGTTAGCATGCAGCTACACCAAAAAAAATTCTGCTTTGATTCTGCAGTCTCTACAAGTTTGGGAAATGATATAATAGGAAGAAACTCATGAAGTAAATATTTACATTATTTATATATAATGAAGAAAATTTAAGAAAATATATCAAAATGGATTTGAGGAGTTTTCATATATAATTCTCCTTCTGTCATTTTTATAGTTTAAAAATGTTTAATTTCAAAACTTCATATTCCTGGAATATTTTAAGATTTAAGCCCATAGAAAAAATAACACTGATTTAAGTTTATCATGGCAAACGCATAACCTAAATTTCTACCCAGTCCTGATATCACAAAGCAACAAATTCTTGACGTTTTTCCAAGTTACAACTAACAGAACTCATCTATTTTTCCTAACCCTCACCCAAGTTATGCTATCATATATACTCTAGATCAGGGGTCGGCAAACTGCCGCTCTTTGAATATGTTCCGTCTCAAAAGATTGCCAACCCCTGGAAGAGCCAATCCTGTCCCTCACAATAATTTTAAAATTATTTGAGAGCCATAAATATGTTTTTACAAAATCACCATTATGTGACTAATATCCTGTAAAAATTTTATAAATGAAACTATGATAGTTTTATTTTCATTTTCAGTTTTACTTCAGAGCCACATATACGTATGCAAAGAGCCGCATGTGGCTTGCAAGCCACAGTTTGCTGACCCCTGGCAGCTCTTCTGTCTCAAAAGTTTGCCGACCCCTGCTCTAGATTATTTAGCCCAGTAGCAGTAACTCTAAGCATCTTAATGGTAAATTTAAATCTGGAATGAGATCTTCTGGAGGACAGAATTAAAACCCTTTAAATATATTGCCTTTCTTTAAACCCTTTTTACCTATCTTATACGGATTTTCTTCTAAGAAAATTGATTATGCTGAACCAAACTTCAGTTAACCTCAGCCTCTCAGATTAATTATTATGATCAGTTATATTTGTCAGAAGTAGAAATGGTTTGGGACTTTTTAACTGTTTGCAACCACCCAAGACATATACTGAAACTTGTTCAAACATGAGATTTGTTTCCTTCTGTCATTTTGCCTTTTCTAAATATAAAGTCTAGATTTTACAGAATGACTTTCTAGACTTTGTAACATGGTGCCTTTCTTCACAAATAATTTTTCTCAAACATCTAAGACTGATCTCTTATCCTTAATGAGATCCTTTTTTTTTTTTTTATTCAGTGTTTTAGCTTTAAAACATTATTTCCACTTCAGGCTCAAGCTTCTGGGTGACTTTTAATCTGCTGACTGGCTTACTTGCTTATACCTTGTACAAAAATATTGCCATTTAAGTAGGCTTTTCTGCCATTTCTACTAAAGGCTTTTAAATCAAGTTGTACAATCAAAGATCTACATGGAACTAGCCTCGTTTACTTCTGAAGTTCATTTATTTTTTATTTGCTCTGGTTACTTCTATTAATCAAAACCTTTTTGTATTCAGCCAAGCAGAACAGTAAATACTGCAAATGTAACACTGAAGTGATTGGTTTTCCTTAACATTTTCCTTAGGAGGAACATTGATTCTTTTCTTCTCCTGGGACTTTTTTCCATTCCATACTAGCTTCCAGATGAAGCTTACTTCAGGCCTGTTATCAAAGCACCATGTATTCTGGTTTCAGTGAAGTAAATTTAATTTTAACTCTTGACTTATTGAGTGATTTCAAGCTTATTTCCATAAATCCAATCTAGTGATCAATTCTCAGTCCTAGGTCTGTTGCCTGTGAAATGAGACTGTAACAACTGATTATCTATTTTGCTGCTACTTCCTTGTTAACTGGTTCACTAGGTTAACTATTGTCAGGGTAAAGGAGAGGAAGATGGGGTGTGAAAGGAAAAAGTTCAGACCTTGTTTTTATACTACTGTCTTGGAACTACTGTAATTATTTGGCTGGGGGAAAACAATTTCTGAAGCGGTAGTAGGAACTATCATTATAATGACATTACCAATGATGATCCCTAGTGAGAGAATGTTATTTTGAGTGAGCTGTCAGGTTTTATTTTCTCCTCCTCCCTTACTACTAACCAACTCTTGCTGAAGGTTTGAGATTTTTTTTTTTACCAGTATTTACTATTTTTAGATCACGTTGATTTTTTAGTGAACTGTTTTGTCCCAGCATTAAACTACATCAGGTGGTTGAAGGATAGTAATGGTATGCTATTATACACACCACTTCCCAGCTCCGAGGCCTTCACCTTGGTGGCTTAAAATCTATGGTATATCATGAAAATCAACACATTAGTGCCTTTTTTTTTTTTTCCTGGAGAGCTGATTTACCAGCACACCACTGATTAAATGTCACCCGTAACTTGCAGAAAAACCCTAGCATGTGTTATAAATAGTATTTCTGCTTAAAGTATATTTTATGCAAAGTTTGGAAAGAAAACTTAAAAGAAAGACATAAGGATAAAGAGTCCTTTTGAAGGTAGCTAAGAACTATGTACCTGAAAACAAGAGTATGTTTGGTAACTAAACACAAGAGGTTAAAATCCTGTGGTTTCATTCTGAAGGTGTTTCATTTGAGATTAAAGGCTATCTTTAACTACAAAGTAAAGTAACTATGGTATTGAGAATTTTTTGAAATATTGTATACATTATAAACTGATAATTTTAAGGTTTTGTAAAATGTTAAAATATAGCAAAGTTGATACTTGGAAATATATTGACTGTCCCATAATAGTTTTTCTGGGATTTTATGTGTATGTCATTAAGCCTTGGCATTGATAGATTCTTTTGAGTCAAGTACAGGTAGGAATCAGTTCTGTCTAAATTGAGTAATATAGAAAAACTAAATCTAGAAACCAGGGACCAGTTTAGATACAAAGCAGAACCAGGGACTTGCTCGACTATCATTTGCAGTTTGTTTGGGAGATTTTTTTAATGGTCTAAATACATAAAATGGACTAAGTCGTCTTAATGAGATTCTAAAACTGTGTTCCATTTTAAGTCTGAACAGGAATTAAGAATAACTCAAAGTGAATTTGATCGTCAGGCAGAGATTACCAGACTTCTCCTAGAGGGGATCAGCAGTACACACGTGAGTGTCCTTTGATTGGAAAGTCATTTGGAACAAAGGACTTTGATAGTCCTAAGGCAATTTGGGGATGCAAAACTGAACTTCCTCTTCACTCATTTATCAGGGAAGTTTAAATTGTGGCACTTTCTAAAATATGTAAAGAAATATTTAAAATTTTTGTTTATACCTCATCACCTAGTTCTCCCACCATCATCAGATAGTTGTTGGTTTTTGTTGGCTAAACAGTTTGTTACACTATTAACCAAATTCAATTCTAATAAGTTTTGTAGTAAAATGTTAGATACTAGTGATTCTCCCTGAGTACAGTGTTGTATTCTGTCTCCCCTTACTTAGTACTTGCCACTTTAAGTAGATTATAAAGCTAAGAAGTGACTGTAACTTTCCTTTACAGGCCCATCACCTCCGCTGTCTGAATGACTTTGTTGAAGCCCAGATGACTTACTATGCACAATGTTACCAGTACATGTTAGACCTCCAGAAACAACTGGGAAGGTGGTAATTTCCTTTTCACACATGAAATTCTGATAAGAGAAGAAATTCAGATGTTTGCATATGAACTAATAATAGCGGTGAAGAATAGAAGAATTAAAGACTTTTATTAGGTTGCTTAAAATCTGATTTTTTTTTTTTTAAGGAAAGTATTATCAGACTTCTGAGGTTACAAAAACATTTTGAGCTCTTTTGGCGCAGAAGAATGTTAACAGGGATGAGAAGATAATTTAAATGAATACCTTTTTAGTGCTATATAAAGAAAGCTTTAAAAGTGTTTGAAGTTCACTTTTCTGTTGACTATCTTTGCAGTTAGTTGAGGAAGATATAGTTACATTTTCACTTTCACTTAATTGCCCTTAGAGGTAAACTAATTTATACTTATTCACTACTCATTTGTTCACTGTTTTTAAAAAAAATGTTTTAGAATATTCTGTAAGTCTTCAAACCAATTGATGTTGTTATTTTAACTGTGGCAATATACTTTAATGCAAAATGATAGAAAAAGCATATAGCTTAGTGATTCAAATAATTTATTGAACATCAGCTAAGTGTTCATTCAATATTTAAAATTCAAATATTATTTAACTGTTCTATACTTTAAAATTATATCATCAAATAGAACAGGCCGAATTGCTTACCGTTATGAGCTCCTTATTTTGTAAAGTGGCACTGGAAATAAAATAATGTATAGGACAAACCTGGTCTCTGCTCTCACAACACTTAAAGTCTAAGTAGAAATACAGAATACAGGTGGACATGTGAGTGGTAAGGTAGATGTGCAGGTTACTGTGAGGGACATCTAACTGTAATTCAGGTGGGTCTAGCAAAGTTTCACAGATGAAATCATTTTAGTAGGAATAATCTAGATGAAGAAAGGGGCAGGGACGAATATTCCACACAAAGGAAGAGCATGTATATATTGTAAAAGGACCAGAGTGAAGAGTGTGGCAAGTCTAAGAAACTGACAGTAGTTCTTTCCGGTTAAAGAATAATGTTTAAGTTAAGAATGGGATGATAGATGAGGCTGGAAGAGCGAAGCAGGATCATGTGAATAGCCTTTAAAGTAAGTAAAGGTAAGGAGTTTGCAGTTTATATAGTGAGGAACTATTAAAGCAGGGAAACGATGTGTAACATTTTAAGCAGGAATATCAAGAAAAGTTATTTCAAGGAATAAGGCAAAAAAAAAACCAACTATAATTTTGGTGTTACTTTCTGCATATTAATCATTCAAAAATAGACCTAGAACAAAATTAAGCATATTCACAAAACCAATTTTAGATGTTAAAAATGAGTTCTAACCTAATACCATTACTTATTCTATTAATAGGATTTACACTTCTATATATTTAAAGCTTTGTTAGTGGTGTTAATACCTGAAAGCAGAACACCACTTTATCCCCATGTCATTACAACTATTGTAAACCCAAGAAGCCTTAGTACTTCCTTTTCACTTTGCCGTAGTACTCTAGGAGTGTAGCAAAGGGGTTGTTACCCTTCATATTTGCATCCTGCTTAAAGCTACCCAGATTCTTGAAACTCAGTCATTCAAATAAAATCTAGTTATTTCTGCACTTTAGGATAAGCTCAAACATTAGAGTGAATCCAATGCTGTTATTCTAGGGAAGAAAGTCTGGCTTGTCTCTCTGCCCTCAGAGAATTTTATTATTGGTAATGACCAATGATAGTGGGAGAAGTTTTAGGCCTTTAATTTGTTGCAGGTTATGCTTTTGAAGACCATATATAGAAACTTTCAAATGCAGAACCTGAAAATCACCCAGATGCTCACTAGCACATGCAGGAGGGGTTTCTGAGGTAGAACCAGGCTGTAATGTTAATGGTTGTAAATAGTGTTGGTGGTGGTAGTAACTGAACAATAGCATCACTTATGAAGGGCTTCAGTGTCCCTAGGTACTCTTCTAGACACCTCATATGTAACAATGTTAGAATCCTCACTCCAGTAAGGTAGGTACTATTATCCACATTTTACATATGAGGAAATAGCACTAATCACAAGATTAGTAAATATATTTTATTTTTAAATAATTGGAAGGTTTTAACATATCAAGTTACAGTGTGGCAGGAAGCTTATAGTTTTTTAAATGTGTCATTAAAAGTTCTTAGAAGGTAAAAATGGTGTTTCAGGGTTTTTGTTTGGTTGGCTGGTTGATTTTTTTTGTTTTGTTTTTCTTTTTACAATTCCCCAAAATTGACATAGGTATCTCTTAAGTGGCTAAATATACTAGTAAATTTGAAAGTAAAATTCCATGGTTAGAGATTTTAAAAATCACATATGTGGAAAGAAAAGGCTTTTTTTTTTTTAATCTTCAGAAATGTATGCATTTAATTATTGCTAAGGACTGAGTTCACTGAGGAAAGGATGCTAGGAAATGTCTTAACTTTGGATTGAAACCTGAATTAGAAATTCATTCTTTTTATCATAAGAACCCATTTAATCCATCAGAGAAACATTTGCTTTTAATTTTTAAAAATATAGTATTCTAGGCATAAAGGATACAGTGTAAACAAAACTGATCAAATCCTTGCCTTCATGGAACCTACATCCTATTTGGAGGTAGAGGGGAATAGAAAAAAATCAGTATGTATATGAATTACATAGTATAATAGAAGGTGATAAATGCTATGGAGGAAAATACAGCAGGGCAGTACCTTGGTTAGGGGTAGCAGTTGGCAGTGGTCAGGGAAGACAGAGACTTAGAAGATGTGGGGATGCAAAGCATTCAGGCATCTGAGAGAAAGTGTTCCAGGAGAGGGTACAGCAAGTACAAAAGCCCTGAAGTAGGAACGCAACTGGTATGTTCAAGCATCAGCAGGAGGCCTTGGTTGGCGATGAATCGAGGAGACAGAACTGGAACAGATAGGGCTTTGGAAGCCACTGTTTGGACTTTGGCCTTTACTCAGAGATGAGGAGCGGGTTTTGAGCTGAGGAGTGACATGATTTGATTTTAGCTGTTAACTGGATCATTCTTGCTGTTCTATTAAGGATAGACATTAGACGGCATGGGTGGAGGCTGACAAACCTGTTTGGAACCTATTGGAATTATTTAGTCACTTAGGAGATGTTAGTGGCTTGGGTCAGGGTGATTGTGATAGATGTGGTGATTTTAAACCCCAGGTGTGTTTAAAGGTAGCTTCAGCAGGATTTGTTGACAGCCTTCATGTATATGAGGCTTAGAGGAATCAAGAATTACTGCTAGTGTTTGGCCTAAACAGCTCAAAGAATGGACTTGTGGTTAATTAAAATCGGGAATGCCCCTAGAGGAGGAGGTTGGGGTGAGAGGGCCGGTCAGATGTATCAGAAGCCCAGCTTTAGACATGCTAATTTGAAACGTGTATTACACATCTAAGTGGAGCTATCCAATTTTATTATATGCGAGTCTGGAATTTGGAAGCTGAGTTAGAGGTATAAATTAGAGTCATCTGGCATGTTAAGGATATTTAAATCTGTGAGAGTGGATGAAATCACCAAGGGAGTAACTATTGGTAGAGAAAAGAAGAGGACTTAAGAACTGAGCTCTGAAGTACTTCAACATAGAGAGCTGGGAACCATCTAAGAGGATGGTAAGTAATGAGCAGTGTGGTAAGATGTAAATTAAGTGTGTGGCCTGGAAGTCAAGTGAAGAAGATGTAGAAAAGCAGAGAGGAGTGATCCACTGTGATCACTAGATAGCTCAAGTGAAACAAGGACTATTAGATCAGATTTAGAACATTGAAGTCATTGCTGACCTTGACGAGTAGTTTTGGTGGAACAGTAGGGGCAAAAGCTTGTTTGTATTGTAAGGGAATGGAAGGAGAGAAACTGAAGGTAAGTTTGGAGAAGTCTTTCAAAGGGTTCTAGTATAAGGAGGAACAGAGAAATGGAGCAGTGGCCAGAGGAGAAAATGGGGTCCAGCAGATTTTTGTTGGAAGGATAGGAGAAGTAAGAGCATGTTTGTAAGCTGATGAGAATGTACAGTAAATGGAGAAAATATAATGTGGGAAAGTAAGGGAAGAATTGCTAGTGTTGATATCCTTGAGAGGAGAAAAATGATGGGGTTTTGTGCACAGGTGGAGAAACTAGCCTTAGGAGCAGACAGCTCATCTGTAGAGAGGTGACATGACCAAAAGCATGGAAGTTGCATAATTGTTTTTTTTCTCTCAGTTAAAAAGGAGGAAATTTATCAGCTGAGTATAAAGGTTAGGGGAGAATTGGAATTTTGAGATTGGATGAAAGGGTGTGAAATAGTATTCAGGAGAAGAGAAAGAGAATGGCCCAAAGAAATAGTTAATTTCCAGGAAGCATTATGGACCCACGTGAGTTTCCTTCTCATAAATTGAATGCAAGACCAGACAACATGCTTTTGTATTTTTCTCCTGTCACTGTAGGTATATGGATACTGAGTAGGTAAACAGACATTTTTTCCAAACGAGTACAATGAAGTGAGGGGCATAGGCAGTGAAGGCATATGTGGAGGCATGGGGTGATTATAATAATTAACCATGGACATAAAGGCTGTGTTAGTAGGATGATGGGTGATAGGTCTGTGGTAGGACCATAGACCCAAGATAACCTTAGTAAAAGTAAGAGTACCAGGGGAAAAAAGTGGTCAGAGAATGCGGTGTTGGAAATTATGATTATTGGAAGGATTATAGTTTTTGGAATTGATAAAGTCTAGAAGAGGCGGTGGGAATGGGTAGCTGAACTAGGGTCAGGTGCCGCATCACTAGAAGAGTTCGTGTATCTGAGAGGCCAAAGTGTTGGAAGAATTATCTATATGGTATTAAAACCTCAAGAATTAAGATATAGTATCAATGAACCAGGAGCTAAAATCTAGAAATTAAGAGAAGGGAATAAGGCATCTGTAAATAATTGCAGTAAGACATGGTGGGTAGTATCTATCTAGTCAAATAACATGAAAAATTGGGTAGGATTGGCTAGCGGGGGGAATGTGTAGAAATGGTCATGAGGAACATAAAACTCCTATTCCATCCACCTGTAGGCTCAATAATTAAAAGGAATATGGGAGATAAACCCCAAGTATAAGAGGGTTTAGGGAAGAGGTTAGGGATAAAGGGAATTTTGCTGCTGGCTAACTGATTTCCAGGTGGCACAATGGTCATAAAGAGAAGGAAACTGTGTTTTATGGCGGGATGAATTTCACCTACCCTACCAGATGAGGCCTTTTATATTTTAACTTAATGGATTTATTAAAATTTAAATGACTTTTCATAGGAAATTTTCAACCTTAGAAATGGTTGGATTAGAATGATTATAGGCCAGCTGTTTTATAGTTTTCCATTTAGTATTGGAGAAACAGTAGCCTTACAATAAATTAAAAATTCTTAATTATCTTTAAATCATTTATAAGTACATCAGTCACAAGGATTTCACTAATTTCTAATAAAACTTTTGCCTTTTTGCCTAAAAAAATAGAAGACAAAATGAACTTATGAAATTTGCCCTTTTCTCCCATTGAGTCTTCATTATGATAATTATCAGTCATAACATTATTTGAATATCCATCTCCTCACTTGCCTATATGTCCGTAAAGGAATGGTATTGTTTTATCTTTGTGTTGTCAGCTTGTGGTAGTGATGCTAGACATGTAGATACTCAATAAATATTTGTCATTTTAACAAATAGGAAAATGTGACTGGATTGATTTCATAAAAAAAGATAATTCAGTTATTCAAATATTTCTCAAAGAATTGAGAACACTTAAATATTAACTACTACAAGAATAAAGTAGTTTTCATTGATATTTGTATTTAACAACTCATAATGAGGACTACACTAATAAAATTATAAATAGAAGCTTTCTGGAAGTATTTTAAGGATAAACTCACTTTTTCTGTGAAAAAAAGCCATTCTGTTTTCTAAAAACTTTAAGTTTATAATTGTAAAAACAGCTTTGAGACAACTTTCAAGGATTTATAATTTGAAAACCACCTGAATTTTCTCTAGTATAAAAGGCCCAATAGGGATAAGTTAGACAGCACGCTTTGTCATTAAAATATTAACATCTGTAAGTCTTTAGCTAACGTGTCCTTTGGTAGAAAGTAAACACTGCCACCAAGTGGTGGCACTCAGGAACTTGCGTTACTTGGAAATCGATAATCAGCTTTTTCTTTTCAACAGTTTTCCATCCAATTATCATTGTAACAACAATCAGACTTCCATGGCACCTGTACCATCTGCTTCATCGAATGTGAGTTCTCCTGCCTTGACTTCAACAAGTGGCCTAGTAATGACCTCTCCTTCCAACCTTATTGACCACAAAGAGTGCAGTGGCAGCAGGAAGGCCAGGGTTTTGTACGATTATGATGCTGCAAACAGTAGTGAATTATCACTTCTGGCAGATGAGGTGAGTAAAGAAGAAAATTACATCATAGTTTGACATACCTTCTAATATAACAAAATGCAAAATCATTATTTATTTGGAAGTAGTTTATCATGAATGCTTTTATAGATTTCAGATGGTAATATTAACATTTTATAGAATTTTAACTACTATTTAACAAAATAAAACATGACAGGAATATCTAAAGCTGTTAATTGCCAAATAACTGGAAGATTTCTAAAACTGCCTCTAAACATATCCTTTAACTTTCAACAAAATTGATAATGTTGAAGTCTTTTGATAGTGAATAGCTTAAACAAATTAAATACAAACCTTATTAGTTTCTCTGTGTGTTTATTTTTAACATAGTAACTGGAAATATTTTATTTTATAGGTGATCACTGTGTTCAGTGTCGTTGGAATGGACTCAGACTGGCTCATGGGGGAGAGGGGCAATCAGAAGGGCAGAGTGCCAATTACCTACTTAGAACTGCTCAATTAAACAGGTGGGCTGTGGAGAGAGCGTCCATCATGACGCCGTATTTATATACAGTTAACTCTAAATAAGGCAGGGTGAGCATCTTCCATGTTAATGTCTTAAGAGACTGAAAACAAAATACCAGCCATCAGAAACCAGCCTTTCTGCCAATAAAATTGCATGGTAAATATTTCATTACAGAATTTATGTTAGCGCTTTCATGCTAAGAATGTTTTCTTACAAAATTCTTTCTACTGAGGTTTCACTAATAAGTACTACTTTTGAGCCCCAACTTACAGCAGAAAAACTTTTCTACTGAATTTTTCATTAATAGCAAGCTTTTTCTTTTATGTAAAATAAATTTATTGTGAAGTGATGTCAGTGACTCATTTATTAGGTACAATTAATAGCCAAAGAATAAAAATTTGTTTTTAACTGTTGATTTAAAAAGAGCTCTAAAATATAAATCCCTTTTGTGAAAATATGTTTTTAATGTTTCCATAAACAAATGCAGTTATACCATGTATACCTTGTTTTCCAACGGAAATTGAATTATTTCAATACTGTATTTCGATGGGTTATAGGGGGGCATTGTTTTATTTAACACTACGGATTGGTTTCTTTTAAAGTTAAGAACTAGTCCTTGAAAAGCATTACTATTTCTCTCTGGTATATTTGCAGTTAAGGTTCTAAAACATCTGGAACAAGCTCAGTTCACAATATTTTTAAGATTGTTCAGTTGGAACAATTTAATGCATAATCAGAATTGCATTCATTAAGAACGTACTGCAGTACAGTAAAGAGAATTGTTCTAATGGACAAATCTTTATAAAAATATGGATTAGTGCATCTGCATTTATCATAGAGTAAATTATATACAAACAACACACTTTTGGTTACTCTGAGCCTAATAAAATTTTGAAAATTTATTAATGAACTTAGGTTATCTTGATCAGGCTTTCTAGTTATGAAATACACACTAATAAGTGATTAGTGACAACTTGGCATGAGAAAGTTGCTATTTGGACCATTGCTATGAATCAGCACATTGTTTCCATGTTAGGACTTCTGTCTTGCTCATCCATTCATTCAAGCATTTTTGAGGGCCAGTCACTAAGCTGATCAACTGGGGATACTACCCTGAACAAGATACACATAGTCCTCCCTGCACACCTTAAAGGCCAGTGGAGGTTACAAAAAAATAAGCATTTGTCATATAACAGAATCAGCGTTGTGATAGAAGAAATCGAGGGTACTGTGTTTGGGAGTTACGTGATTCAGATTTGGGAGTGAGAGATGGTTTGGAAAAGATGGTTTCAGACATGGGGAAAAAGATGTACCAGACCTGGAGCCAAAAGAGCGTAGCTCATTCTGACAACTAAACGTAGTTCAGCCTGGCTTGCATATGAAGTGCAAAGGTGTAGTCCATCTCTTCAGGAAATGTTAATACATCAAAATGATCATTGTTTTTGATACTTTAAAAAATGAATACGTAACACAAAAGAATGTTTTAAAATATGTTTAGGAGTTCCTAATAACGTGGTAAACATGTTGATAATTTAGTTCACAATCCAAACGTTCGTTGTTTTTCTTTTATTTTGGTGCTATGAGACAAATTCCTCTGCAATTTTATAGTTGCACAAGATGCTTTGGTTCACACTGTGAATTGCCGTACTCTTAACCCCAAAAGCTGCTCAAGCTGGTTAGTTAGCTATAGAACCAAGTGAGCGAAGCTTTTTCCCCAGAAAGGAAGTTCTGCAGCCAGCCTAGAGTACCATCTATTATGTGGTATGAGTCCAGATTTAGGCTTTAAAAGATCATACAAAAAATCAGGTCAACTTAAAACAGCAACTATAAATTAGATTTCTAGTAGAGTAGTAAAGGGGAAGAGTATGGATACCGGGATGAATTGGTTCTGGGCTCAAATCCAGTCTTCCTCGCACTGTGCTCTTTGAGCTTCAACTCATGACATATAAACTGCTGTCTCCTTAGTAAAATAGGGATAATTATTCCACTTGAAGGTTATTGTGAGGTTTATATAGCAAATGTTATCTTGTATGTTAGGTAATTTTTAGGGAAAGCCTTGGCACATAGTAGGAACATTCTGAAACTCCGGCTTCCCCTTGTTAGCCTTTATACCTTCCTGACCTACCGAGACTCTAGGCCGAATTTATGACTACCAGAGATATACCTCTTTGATATACGTGATCTGTTTTCTTTATCAACCCCCTTTAAATCAGACTCAGATCTAGGTTTAACCTTCCCACACTCCGTGTAAATTTTTATCAGAAACTTACGCTTTCCATTAAGTGAATATTGATTATAGTAACAATGTATAGTAGCACCTAATAATGTTAAGATTCAAAGGCTTCTTGTGCTTTTGTCAACAAACCTACCACAATATATTGATTTGTTCTTCTGTTTATTCCTTTTTAATGACATGTTTTTTTGTTTGTTTTTTCTTTTCATTGGTTGTTTGGGGGGGGGCGGTTAGTTTGGTTTTGGCTTATTTTATAAAGTCATAGGTTTGAGTTTACTCAGGTAAGGGCCCTTAAAGATTCTTAGGCGTGGAAAAGAGGCTTGGGAAGCCTATTAATTCATGGTGCAATTCAGAATTATTTAAATAAGCTCTGTGCCCCTGAGCTTAGGTATAGTAACTTATGAAGGATACACATATGAACAAAATAATAAACTTGGAAATAGGCTCTTTTACAAATAAAAATGATTGGCTTGTTTCTACAGTTGTCCTCAAAGTAACCTAAACTAAAAGGTCATGGGTTAAATCGTTTTTTATGCTGCTAATCAAAAGAACTCATATTGTAGGAGATCAGGTCCTAGAAATGGGAATGTGCCTCATTCTGAGTAACATGAGAAACAAGAAAACTGAGGCCAGGGTCACTGGTGGGTTAGAGTCCGTCCTCATAGTCCGCGGTCACCCTCCACCAGAACAAACGCATAGAATGTGAATGGAGGAGCTGGTCTTGGGAGGACATTTCTCAGATAAACTGTGGGGAAGGTGATGGGGTGCAAGACAAGCAACAGGTTGGTTTGCTGGAAGAGGCTTGGCTTAGCTCCATGCTTTGACAGGATTCCTCAAAAGTCTCTACCCTACCTCCCAAATGCTGACATTTTGAAATACGTTGCCCTAATATGTAGCGCTTCAAGCCTGGGTGAGGAGCCATAATAGATAGATGGCTTTCCAATTTGACCTACAGCCAGCTTTGCCTCAATCCTGTCTCCAAATGAGTAAGAGGCTCTTATCTCAGAGAGACTCCACAGGGGAGGAGGGAGTTCCAGGAGCACACCCGCCCTTTCTCCCACATGAGAAAGTCTACTCAACAGGGCACTGCTGCTCGGTGTGAGACCCCACCATGGGCAATATCAGCATCATCTAGGAACTTAACACCAATTCATATTTTCAAGTACTTTCTACCTTTATGTGTACTGATCTTTTGTCTTCAAGGGGCTATAGAACTAGTGTTCTTCCATGTAACATTTTTAAAAATATTTTAAAATCAAAACTGTCTTCTCTCTTTACTGTGTTCTAGCACTAATCAAAATTATAGTTACTGTTGTAATTTGTTTAGTATATATGTCACTCTAAAATGTAGGCTCACTGAGAGACTAATTCTTTTCAGTTCAATTCCCAGCTCAGCACAAGACCTCGCACATATATGTCCTCAATAAATATTTATCGAATAAAAGAAAAATTCAATTCCTAAAGCCTTATCCAGGATCTACTGAATCAGACTCTGGGGGTAGGACCCAGCAATCTGTTTACAAGCCATTTGCGGGGTGGTCACACTAAAGGCAGAGAACCACTTCAGTAGAACAAAATATGCCTCTCACCTTCAGGCCTACTATCTGACATCACTTGAGAAATTCCTGCCTTCTGGACCGGCACCAACAACAGTGCTGTCCTTAATGCTCGGGGAGCCTTGCTGGGCTAGCTCACCAGTAGGTGTGACGGTGTAAGGTCCGCTTAGTTAAGGAAGGGAAACACTGCTGGAAATGCCAGTACTTGGCTGTGGAGGGTTTCTAGGAATGGATTCCTTAGTCTGAAGAAGGGTAAGCACTACTACCATCCACATTTCCACTCAGCACTGTGACAATTTGACATCAAAGCACCCTGACAAGCCATTAAAGTGGCATCGGTCTAACGTGCACCCCTGTGCTCAGGCTGCTAAGCTCTGCTCTCTTTCCTATTTCAAAGGAGGTTTTTTTAAAGAATTGTTAATGTTTTCTTAACAGTACAAGTCATAGATGTTAAAAAAGGAAAACAAATGAAAATATTTAAAAGATTAAAATCACCTATAATACTGCCATCCAGGGAGAACTGTTACTTATAGGTGTATAGCCCTCCAGACTCTTCTGCACGTTTATAGACTTTTTTAATGGGATTAACTTGTACATACTGTTTTGTAACTTTTCACTTGAAGAATACCACAAGTATCCTGCCGTGTCACATGTATTACTACATCTTTTATAATGGCTGCATGGTATTCCATCTTATGTGCCACATTTTATTAAACTGTTGATTTCTAGGTTGTTTCCAATTTTTCATTAATAAACTGCTTTAAAGAACATTGTGTTACTAAATCTTTTATGTGTTCTTACTATTTCCTTAAGATGGATACTTGGAAGTGGAATTGCTAATGGAGAGAGTATGCCAGTTTTTAAAAGCTTTTGTTACTGCCACTTTGCCCCCTAGAAAACTTATCAGTTTACACTTTTTTTTATCAGCAGTGTATAAGAGAAATTGTTTCTTTTTGGAGGGCTTCCAAACTGAATGTCCTTAGAGCTTTCAGTTTAAAAATAAAGGATAAGAGGAAGATAAAAAGGCCCTGTAAAGTTAAAACCAAGATCAGTCTTAAATTATTCTGACATTACATCATTTACTGCTCTACCTTCTATTATGTATTTTGTGATACTTTGGGAATGTTTGTAGTACTAGCTTGCATCTTGCTTTTCTTCAGTCTCATGGAAGCACTATCACCTTTCTGATTTTGCTGAAATGGTAGAACAGTCTTCAGTAGACTGGAATCATACGGTAATTTTGATGCTGGTTGGTTTAGAGTTGGTTTTAGGGAGCATGGCCATAATAGGGAAAGTAGAAACTTTGGAAGATTGTCCGAACACCGGCTCTCTCACTTATTTGCCTGGCTTTGTGTCAGTCACCCTCTTTGAGCCTATTTGCTTATCTGTAGAAGGAGAATCATAGAACCCTACCTTGTAGGGTTGAAAGGATTAGCCATATTATGGACAAAGTGCCGGGGTACCTAGTAGATAATAACATTAGGATCTCCAGCTAAGTATGTTAGAGCAGTTGCTTTATCAACCTCTGTGGAGTAAATATCACTGCTATCGCCAGATAAAATCTTCCTTGAAAGATGTCACAATAAATGGACATTGCCTTGTACATCCTACTGTACCTACAAAAATATAGTTCTTAAAGAATCTGATATTGCTGCACTTGGGTATTCAGGTAACCTAACCAGATAAAATTCCCTGACAAGGTGTCTAATAGAAGATTTCAACTACTATGCTCTAATGGCAGTGTATCAAAGTGACAATCACATCATTCTAAAATGGTGACCTGGCCATGGCAGCCATGCCCAACTTCCCCTTCGAATCGAAACTGTCCCCCACCCCTTAGCCCACAGCTGATTGTTGTGCTTTGAAGGGGTTGTCGTCCACCTGTGAGAACCTGACCCACAGGGTTCAGCTCAATAAAGGTAATAGTAATTAGCTAAGTCCCAGTAGCATCTCGAGGACTAGAGAACAGAATTGATGGGTCCATAATTTTCGAAAGACGTTTAGTGAGAGAAGTATCTGAATTCTAAAATTTGCTCAGCAATATTTCCAAAAGATAGAAGTGCAGGGCTAACAGCTAAGTCATCATAGCAGACAAAGCCCCAGATACCAACCCACTCTCACATTTGGGTGAACACCAGTAAGCATCTGGTTTATTGAGTATAACTTGAAACTACTCAGCCAATAAAAAGTGAGTAATAAGAGAATTTAAGAGGAGTGAAAATAAGGAAGGCTATTTAGGAGGCTTCAGGTTTGTGAGAACAAAACAAATGACTAATTATAAGGTGAAAGAAGATGGGCTACTATAATAAGCGACATTTGGGGGATGCCTGATGTTCTAAGGTTGGGCATGTGTTTCTGCCTCCTCCCATGTTTCAGTAAAACGAGCGGTGGTTGGTAGTCCCCAGCATCCACATCCTGTGATGCCTGCCTGCCTTTTGTACAGTTTCCTCTCTTCAGCTCCACCTGAAGACCTCCATTTGTTAAGAGTAAGCCAAAATGCTCCCTCCTCTAAAGATATTCTGGACCCCCTCAGGCAGGATTAACTATGTGTGTGTGTGGGGGGGGGGGTTTCTTCATGTAACAACTATGGCATTTACGGGAGCCCGCTGCAGCTCCACTGCAGCCTACGCCATCGCCAGTGACTCATGGTAACCCAGCTCCTGGTCGAGCTATTGTTCACCATCATAGCTGTAGAGGGTGTGGCGTCACTTGCCCTAATGTGGGATCCGAACCGGGGCCCTGATGCTCAGAGGTGGCGTCCCCAACCAACTCAACCAATGTGCCACTTGGCCGGCCTGTGGAATGCTCTTTTAATTAGTATAGTTTAATTATAGGCAATAACGTTGCTCATATGACTCAAAGTCTTACAGCAGTTACATGATAGAGCTCTTTTCCTTTTTGATAAAACTCATGGGAACCCACCACCTCAGTGATCTCAGGATGACAGCGATCTTACACAGACACCTGTGCTTCTTGCAGTGTCACCTCCAGTCCCCAGTGCCTGGTTCACTGCTCCCTCAGATAGAGATGGAAGTCAGAGACTACGGCATGAGGAGAGTTCATTTCTTCCTTCCCTATTAAATTCAGTTGAGGGCCTCTCAAAGCACAATGCCCTAAGCATGAGAACCTTTCCAGTTTAGGCACACACAGCCAGTTCTTTCAGGAACACACTCCAACAGGGATGGCTGGGGAAGACAAACTCCACTATTGGACACTTTGCAGACCTGGAACCAAGACCCCCCTCCATTCCATAGCCTTAGCTGTGGGGAATCTGCTCACCAATATAGTCTATTTCTACCTTCATGGTAAGTTCCCTCTTAGGGACCATATTATTCTATCCAATTGTCTGGCTTTGATTAGAACCGTCTCACAACATCCACATTTTTCATCATATTTGAACCTCAGTGTTGAGAGCAATAAGGGTCCCATCCTATTATTAGGCTATAAAATGTTACTATTACTATTCTGCCCAGACCGAATGTCTTATTGTAAAACCACTTAGCAGCACAGAAATAGACTTTAGAATGAAAGAAGCACATTTTCAAATCCCAGCTCTGCCAGCTATTAGGTGTGTGTTGAGCAAGTTACGTAACCCCAATCCCTGTTTCTTCACCTGTAAAATACAAATTGAAATACCTACCTCCTAGGTTTGTGGCAAGCAGTAGTTCTCAAAGCATGGTCCCCAAACCAGCAGCAGCAGCAGCAGCACCTAGGAATTTATTACTCCGGCCCCTACGGCATCAGAGACAATTTGTGTTTTAGCAAGCCCTCAGGTGATCTGATGTCTGCTGAAGTTGGAGAGCCACTGGTTGTGAGGATTAAATGAAACACTTTGTGAACAGGCTTGACTTAGTAATTATTAGCATATAGTAAATACTTAACAATTTCTATTATTGTTGTTGCTATCAGAATTTGTAATCAATGAATTGCATACCCTTCAGCCAAAGTTCCATATATATATTTCTCATCACCAACTCTTTTCTTTTTTTTTTTAGCTGTACATTTTTTTTCCTTTTTTTTTTTTTTAAGATTTTGGGGAATTGAACAGTGCTGGGAGGTTGAGGGAGGGGAACAGTGTTGGGGAATTGGGGGAGGGGAACAGCCAAGTTGTTGTCCTTCAATCTTAGTTGTGGAGGACGCAGCAAGCTCAGCGCCAAGTCCAGTTGTGCCGCTCAGCTCAAGGTGCTGTGTTCAATTAGTTGCAGGTGGGCGTAGCCACCATCCCATGTGGGAGTCCAACTGGGAGCCTTTTTTTAAGAGTGCGTGCTCTGTCCCCTGAGAAAACCGGGTGGCAGCTCAGCTCAAGGTGCTGAGGTCAGTCTTAGTTGTGGGCGGGCGTACCCCACCATCTCGAACAGGCAATCTCGTTGTTAGGAGCACACACTCTCACCAGCTGAGCCATCCTGCCACCTGTTGGCAGTTCAGCGGCAGCTCAGCTCAGGGGAAGCTCACTGGCCCATGTGGGAATTGAACCAGTGACCCTGTTGCTCAGAGCTCACACTCTTGAGCAAGCTCTTAACCAACTGAGCCACTCGGCCGGCCCAACTCTTTTCATAAGAGTTTGGCAGCTGAAGGTTTGAAGTTAAGTTCTCTGATGAGAATATTTAGTACAAATCCCCATACTTTTACCAATCATATAGAAAATGAGTTGAAATTCATTTTATCAAAAATTAACCAACTGAAATCTGCACAGAAATGTATCCTATTTCTGTAAAACAGAGCACTTGGAGAAAGGGTGAAGATTTCTCTCTGAAAAGCATCCAGAATATGCTTTCACACCTGGAGAAATGAGACATTGAAGCTCCTATTCTGTACCATAGAATATACCCATGTTCATTTTGACCTGAATTTTTTCAAAGCATATGTTACCAATTGCATGTTGTGGTTATGAAACAATTTCAGTCATACACTCAAAAAACAGCTAACTTAACTCCATGTAACCTCCTGATAAGTGCTTCTAGATAAATTTGTTTCATAATGAAACCTTACGAAACTAAATGAATTTATCTTTTATGTAGGGTATTTGGACATAAACCAATTACATGTTACAGGAGACTAAAAGTAATTGTTGCTTTAGAGTAGTTCATCAAAAGCCATTCTTTCTGAGAGCATTTAGATAGTAAGTCCCATAGAAATTAAATGGGTGGTTATGTACCCTCAGGGAAATTATTCACTTAACCTCACAGGCTCATAGATTTCTCATCTGTAAAATGAAAAGATTAAGCCAGATGATCTGTAAGGTTTTTCTAACTCTTGAATGCTAAGGTGCTTGAAGCAAGGCAAAGCTATTCATGTTTTAATAGTAATGAATGTTAAACCCTAAAGTATTAATTAACTTAAATGGCATGCACCATTTGGCAGGTAGTTGATGGGATTGTTTCCTTTATATATAATTTTAGGGAACAAAACTTCAATCTGAATTTTCTAGAAGAGACTGAATGATAACTTGTGGGACATTCCTTTGGAAATCTCTCTCTACCTGAACTGAAGGGGCCTAACTTCCCTAGACCTCAGAGGGAAAGGACTTACCTTGTGCTCAGACTTTCCAAAGGGTTCTAAAAAGCAAACAAGAACAGTGGCACTCACAGTCTTAGGCATTATTGAGTTTTTACATCCCCTTGGAAAAAAAAATCGCTAAATTTATTAAGCAGTTTGTGTGCATTACCTTCTTCAAACCTGGCAAGAGGGTAGGTATACTTGACGTCATTTTACAAATGAGGAAATAAGAGTTCAGAGAACCAGAAAATGGCAGCGCTGGTCTCATTCCT